AATTCAGGTCTTTAATTTTGGGTCTTCAGAATACATCTTACGCATGCAGTTGTCTAAAATAATCACATATCCCTCTAACTATTATTACTTATGGAAACCCATGTAGTCTGGCTCCTGCTACACAGGGGATAACACCTGTGTTGATAGATTATTATTTGCTCAAAACTTTAACCTGTGCTGTTTTCGGCCACACTGCTATGTTTCATTGCTCCAAAGCTTCCAACAGACCCTGTAAGAGCAATTTGGTATCATCCCAATTTATACATTTTTCCATTAAACAGCTTAACTAGAATAGATTATAATACACCTTAATACATTTCATACTAAAGTTTATACACTAAAGAAAGCAGGTATCCAACAGCTGATTCAAGCAAGGTGAAACCTACAACTTTCAATTTGTCCAGGGATTACTGGATATAAAGTTCCAAAATTGGAAACATAAAAGGAAGACTGTGATGCAAACAGCCTAATATATTTTTTGTCATTAATACTCCAAAACAGGGGTCAGCAATATTTTTGCATTGGGGCCACTTTAACAGCTTAACAGAGCTTAGCTCCAAGCTTGAATTGCTTCCAACCTGGCCTTGCGCTGTTGCTGCTGGAGCCTCAGTCACTGCTCCCCACATTAAGTTCCACTGTCACTGCTTCTCCCCACTGCCTGGAAAAGATGTGGGCCCCTGCCAGCCACCCACTGTCCCAAAACCCCCTACTCACAGGCCAGCTATAATGGCTCCATGGGCCAGATTCAACCCACAGACCATGGGTTGCCAACCCCTGCTCTAGAATCAACAACCATCTATTTCCCTAGTCTCATGACTCAGTTTATCTCTGGGCATGGAAAGACATAACATTTGGGCCAGGAAAAACACCTTTTTCCCAGCAAGAAAGGCTAGCATACAGGTGTTAAAGGGGTTTTGAGAAGCTCTTCCCCAACAAGATGTCAGCTTTTCTAAACAACAACTTCTCTAGAGACAGAAGTTTTCTAGAAACAACTATAACACCTGAACACTTTTCTCGGGGTCTCTCAGACACCCACTATCCCATAGTCCTCTGCTTTTCCTTCCCTCCTTTAAAGAGACTGACTTGCCCTGCCGTGAACTGTCAGGGACCCTGTTGTCTCTGACAGAACCAAGATTCTTCAAGCCCCAGTGCTGACTCCTGCCCTTTGAATAGCAGTGCAGCTCCCACCACTGCCTGAACAGTACTGGAGCTCCCCTGGTATACAGTTCCGACAGCAGCACAGCTTTTCACTATTCTTTGAATGGCACTGGGCACACAAGGACTGCTCAGAGGGTGATACAAGGGTGACTGCCAGGGGTGGTGGGAGTGAACAGAGCAGCACTGGGCCCCTCAGGGCATGGAAAGCAACCAGTTTTACCCCCTGCCCTGTAAGAATCCCTGGAACAGACTGCTCTTCTCACAGGGGATAAGGCAGCTCTTTACCACTGCCATAGCCCCTAAGAAACAAAGGGTTCATCCGCAGGGAGTGGAGTGGGAAGGGTGGCAAATAGCATGCCCTATGCCCCCTGCCCTTTGCAGGCAGCTGTTGGCACAGTAGGAAGGCAGGGGCAGTCCCACCTCCCAGGCAGTGGGAAGCTGCCTCTGCCCTGAAGCTACCTCTAGCTGATGCCCATGTTACAGATTTTGAGCTTGAAACTGAATTTATAATTGTGTTACAATCTGACTTCACAGTAAGACCTGTATTCTTATTCTTATTATTGCTGCTGTGTTATTATTAATTATACTAGTAGTAAAAAAACCAAACATTTGGTTCCATATAAAGGTGAGTGAAGCTTTAAAACCCAAAGAAGGATCAGAGGAAAACAGATCTACAGTCTGCCTACCATGGGGCAGGGGGAGCAAAGGAGCACCCCCTATTGCTCCTTGGTGAGTAACTTAATTGTTCTCCAGCCAGGGGGCTAGAATGCCTGTATATACCCCATTCTCACCACATTTATTAGCTCTACACATTTCCCTAAAATTTACAGTGCTGGAATTGAACACCTGTCCATAGCCTGTGATGTAAATACTTCCGTTATTATAAAACGTGAAATAATAAAAGTACACTGGGTTACCTGAAGGAAACAGTACAAAGGTATGTAAAGTTATAAAAACCTAGAAAAGAATCAGAGGAAAACAGATCTACTCAATAAAGTTTATAGGTTAAAAAAGGCCACTGTCACATATTTCAAGCTCAAAATGGAACCTATTATTAATGTGTCATAGTCTGACTTCACATTAAGAAGACCTGTATTATTCTTATTAATAATAATAGTGGTAACAATAATAGCACAAACCATCACCACCAAGATCAGATTGTCAGAACAAAACCGAATAAAACCATTAAAAAATTAGGGACATTTTTCCCTGGACACATTGCAATGTAAACTCATTGAACTGAATTATTTAACTGCTGGACTTACCTTTGTTAACTACACAGTCACTTGCAATCCCTTCATGAGAGCACACTATCCCCTCTCTTATCATAAATTTAGACTCTCCATGGCATGGCTGTTTAAACACTGACAATTGTATTCAAATCAGCCAGGCAGTTTTATAGTCCAGACTTGTTTGGCAACAGACTTTCATCATCTACCCTTGCATTTTAAGCATGTTCTAATCACCAGCTCAAAATGAGATTTAGTTATTGGGATGTGACATTGATTGCACTAAATGAATATGTCAGCAACCTAGTTCACTGAGCTGCTTCCTGGATAGTAATTTTTTATTTACCATCAAAGGAGGAAAATCTATAAACAGAATTCATTCTTAAATATTTTATCCTTAATTTTGGAGTCTTGCACTTCTTATTATATGGTCAGCATTTAACATGTTCCATTACATTTCAAGGCTTTTATCATATAAATACATCAAACATCAGCAGCTAGCTGATTTAACTGACTGAAGAATGTTTTTTAGAACAGGAGATGCTAATTAAGAATCTACTTTACAAATCATGAAAGTCTATGGATGAACAAAGCACAGAGGTGAAGCTTTAGCTTGGTTTCTGGTGGGCATGATGAAGTAGATGTATGAATTCATACATCTCTGCCCTCTTCTGAACATAATGTTTGTTAACCACATAAACTCAAAAATAAGACAAGGCACAGTGTATATAATGCAGAAGTGCTGGGCAGAGACAACTTAGCTCATGCGTTTTTGAAGTAGTTCAGTTTAACTCATGGAAGTGGTGAGTGTCATCTCCTCTCATTCAGCAAGCAAAAAGTTTGCTTTTTCAGAGCCACACAATGGTTTTTCAGAACCACATATTCAGGAATCAAGTGGAGTGCCCCAGGAGTCAGTCCTGGGGCCGGTTTTGTTCAATGTCTTCATTAACGATCTGGAAGATGGGATGGAGTCCCCCAGCAAGTTCACAGATGACACTGAGCTGGGGGGTGTAGTAGATATGCTGGCAGGTAGGGCTAGGATTCAGAGTGACCTAGACAAATCGGAGGATTTGGCCAAAAGAAACTGCATGAGGTTCAACAAGGAAAAGTGCAAAGTCTTGCACTTAGGATGGAGACAACCCTAGGCAACGCTACAGGCTTGGGGTCAAATGGCTAAGCAGCAGCTCTGCAGGAAAAAACTGGGGGTTACAGTGGACAATAAGCTGGATATGAGTCAGCAGTGTGCCTTTGTTGCAAAGGTTAAACAGCATACTGGGCTGTTTTGTAGGAGTGTTGCCAGCAGAATAAGGGAAGTAATTATTCCCCTCTATTCTGCACTGGTGAGGTCACATCTAGAGTAGTGTGTCCAGTTTTGGGGCCCCCCACTACAGAAAGGATGTAGACAGATTGGAGATAGTCCAGTGGAAGGCAAATAAAATGGTTAGGGGCCTGGGGCACATGACTTCGGAGAAGAGGCTGAGGGAACTGGGCTTATTTAGTCTGCAGAAGAGGAGACTGAGGAGGGATTTGATAGCAGCTTTTAACTACCTGAAGGGGGGTTCCAAATGAGATGGAGCTGTACTGTTTTCACTGGCAGCAGATGACAGAACAAGGAGCAATAGTCTTAAGTTGCAGCAAGCGAAGATTAGGTTGGATATTAGGAAAAACTTTTTCACAAGGAGGGTGGTGAAGCACTGGAACAGGCTACCTAGAGAGGTGGTAGAATCTCCATCCTTGGAGGTTTTTAAGGCCCAGCTCAACAAAGCCCTGGCTGAGATGATCTAGTTGGGGATGGTTCTGCTTTGAGCAGGTGTTTGGACTAGATGACCTCCTGAGGTGTCTTCCAACCCTAATTTTCCATGCTTCGGTGATTCTATGAATCATATAATGATTCTTGTAAGAATAGCATCCCTAAATTCAACTGGCTACAGCCTCTTACATCAGAGGCATAACTAGCATTTTCAGCATCTTGAGCAGAGAAGCTGTCAAGTGGGCAGGGCAAACCCAAGCATATCCTGCACCCTGGAAGCTGCACACTGATACAGAACTATATCCATTTTTATGCTGTTCACATCATCAACCTAAATAACCATTTAGAATCAAATGACCAAATATCCATGAGAAATAACAAGACACTAAAAAGGGATGGGGGAAAACTATTTCAAAGCTTGGAAAGTATTTATTAATACAATGATAGCAAAACCCACAGAACTAGAAGGATAAAAGCAGATCATTACCATTGAACTATCAGGTTTTCATGTTGAATCCCTTCCTCTACTGTTTTTTATATTTTTCTTAGATTGTAAGTAGAAAATATCAAAAAATAAAAGGAGGGAATATAGAAAAGAAGGGGAAATTTCAGGAATTTGCATATATATTTTTCAATCTTCTTAATTTTTTTAATGTCATCATTACACTGACATTTGAAAATATCCAAATAGTTAAACCTGTGAACAAATAGAACAATTAGAATTGTGAGAGTCTTCTGGGAGGCCCTTGTCTTTTTATGTGTCTTATGTCTAAAAACATTATTTAGTCACTGAGTAGGTACCATAATAATAAATTGTTACCAAACTTATTTAATGTAAGTTTTGTCTTTGTTTTCATACTGACCTAAGGTCCAGTCAGACACAGCTTCCAGATGTGGAGAACTACTGTAGAGGGCATGCATATACATAAGATGAATCATCAGCTCTGCCAGCCACCACCAAAAGAAAATGCGAACCATGCCCAAGATTAAAATGAGAAAATTAGTCTTCAGACGGCAGGCTTCTTGTCTCCTCATCTAAAAGAAGTAATCAAAAGCAGTTACAGTTTTCACAAATGGCCAGAGGTTTTGTTCAAAGAGATTTTTTGGTGCCATTTTCTTAATTTATTCTTACTTACTGCTGTCATCAAGGGAAGTATGTCAATGTGGCACTGGGGAATTCTCTGCAGACCCCATTATTAAAGTTATTGTTATTAATCTATTTTTTAGAGATAGAAGTGGAAAAATGTAAGTAGTAAGTGAAAGACATTTACAGTCAGTCCCACAGGGCTGTATGCAGCATTTACAGGAATTCAGTTCCATTTTTGTCTATTGAGGAACTTCACAAATGCTTTCAAATAGAAAAAAGGACCATTTCCCCTCTAAACTTTGTCTGCATAGAATTGTATCACTACAACTGGAATACGAGGGATTGCAATTATGCATGCTGCAGTGGCACCATTGCCACTTAACATGCGTAAGGCAGGGGTCAGTCTCTGGATCTGGCCCACAGAACTGTAGTTTCACCAGCAGGAGGCTCTCCCTGTGCCACAGTCAGCTCCCAGGGGGTCCAGCTGAAGGGGAGCTCTATCCATGCCACATGGCAGTTGGGAGGCACAGGCTCTGCCAGAGGCAAGCTTTCACCAAGCCATACCGCACATGAGCAGAAGGGAGAAGCAGTGGTTGCAGCTGGGTCCTAAGGGAGCAGGAGGAGGACAATCGGAGGCAGGGGGCACCACATGCATGTGTGCACTCACGTGCACATGGCAGCCAGGCAACAGTGGAGAGTAGCTCCTGCAGCTCCCTCCAGGTAAGTCTATGGAGGGTGCGGGGGGGAACGGGACACAGGCTATGTGTTGGGTGGAGGGGAGAAGGAGCACAGGCTGCACACATTGAGGAGGGGAATTCAATTGGGTGGGTGGGCAGGTGGGCACATGCCCTCTGAGATTTCTACACCCACAGTGGGGAATGGGACTGCAGCTGGGCCAGACCAGCTCCAAGCAGGAGCTGCCTCTGTGGCCATGGACACCCAGCAGCAGCAGGGGCACAACTCTGCACCACCACCAACAGCTGCTTCTGTACCTCACGATGCCAGCATGGCGCTTCCTCCAGCTCCAGGTCCTGGAGGTGGCTCCTGCCCAGACCGGCCTGGCTGCAGCCCCACATACCCGCTGTGAGCACAGAAATCTTGAGAAGCATGTGCCTCCCCCACTGCATTACCTGTCCACCCCCACCCACTTTCCCTACATACCCACTCCTTTCTTCACACACAGAGCAGCTGGGGGTAGGGGTCAGAGGGTCAGGATTGAGGGGCACTAGCACAGCTTGTGGGGGCTGTAGGTCAGAACTGAGGGCTCTGGCAGAAATAAATATAAGGAAACTCTCCCAGGTTTCTACTTTTCTCAGCCTGTATCCACCACTGTTGTCCCTCATTCTGATGTCTGTTCACAAACTGCAACACAAGAATGTAAAAACTGCCATACTGGATTACTGGCAAAAGATATAACCAACCAGATAAGCTAATTTGAGAAAACTGCTTTAATACAAAATACATGGGCCTGTCTAGTGCAAGATCCCCTTCTCTGACAGTGACCAGCACTAGAGGCTTTAAAAGAAGATGCAGGAAACCTATAATAGACAAATTAATCTGCCCATTAATCTGGAAAACTGACTCTCAAAATATACAGCTCTCTTATGAATTTTTAACAATACAATTTCATCACTTTATACATTTTCTTCCCACTAACAAAAGTAAGTAAAATTCACTCCACAAGATAAACAGAAATTCAACATCCTAAAAAAATAGCTACCAGTAATTCCCTTATCATCTCTTGGATTAATTAATTCCAAAGAAAACACCTTGCCTTCAGACTCTGAAAAAACCCCTAGAATTACAACACTGATTGGATACAGCTATTATAATTTAAAAAGAGAGAGAGAATGGAAATTTACTTTTTAATTGCTTTCCATTAAACTTTAGAGATAGATTCTCAGCAGATATGTAATATTTTGTTGACTTAATTAAAAGGCATTGTTTCTTTGAAGTGTTTAGTTAAACAGCCTTTACAGCAGAAGAGAAAACCAACCAAATAGTCTAACTTGAAAAAAAAAGCTTTAATACAAAATCTAGGGAGCAGGAAGCTTTAAAACATGTTTTTTCAATGTGTGAGACAGCTACTAATACAAATACTCATCTGCCTTTCAAAGTAATATTGACACTCCCAGAGAAAGCCAGATCTGAACTGAATGTCTATTGATTTCAAAGGATTTTGGGAACAGGTCATAAATCTTACTAAGCTGTACAAGTTTAGCCCACTGTCCTTGCAAATGCCTTAAAACAAGGGCTGGCAACCTTTGCTATGTCAGGCCACTGTTTGCAACCCAGCCCTCACCATGGACCACACCTTGCATTCCCAGGTAACCAGCAGATGTTGTCAGGGGAAAATAGCTAGGACCCTAGAGATGACTCCCCTGACACAGCAGAGAGGATACACTGCACATGGCAAGCAATAGGACCCTGGGGATGCCACCTGTACTGCTGTAGCTGGCCCATGGTTGTCAATTCGTTGAGCTGCTGTGGGCTGGATCCAGTTGTAAGAGTAAATTTAGTCGGCTTCTGGCATACTTGGCTAGAAAAAACAGAGACCAGAAGTGCTGATACTGCTTATTTCAGTTAAATGTTCTGAGATAAAGAATTCTGCATGCCTTGTTTTTGTCTTACCCTGGGTACGGATGTTAAGTTTATTTTTCTCTCTGAGAAACCAGAAACTGATAATTATTTCTATAAGCACAATGTTTCACTCTCCTTTAAGTAAACAGCCTGTGTGTCTGTGTGTGTTAACGATCAGTGATTTACTGTCCAAGGTCGTATTTTTTTCCTCTTTCTCTGTCTTAAGTATAAATATGCTTGTAAACTTAAAGAGTGCGAGAAATCCTTTGAAACAGACAAGTGAGTTATTCCCCTTGCTGTATGGAATTCTCCCTGTGATCACAGTATAGCCCTAAATAAAGAAAAGCTGGCTCTGTCAGTTCTGATTCAACCACAACACGAAGTTTGATTTCTTCCACACAGTGTATTCATGAGCTGAATCTGGCCCATGAGCCATAGGTTGCCTTAAAAGTGCTACGTAACATTGCCAAAAAGCACATACCAAAAGAAGGTGCAAAACAACCAGGTGATTCATTCAGACATAATTTGTCCATACAGGTAACCCCCACTTAGCGCTATTGGTTCCTGAAAAACCGAGCATTAAGTGAAACAAGTGTTAAGCGAAACTGAAAGTTTTTGACGACCCAGGATGGCAACTGCAAGTGTTTTTAATGACCCAAGGTAGCGACCATGGGTGTTACAATGAAACTCACTGAGCGCTAAGTGGAATCAGGTATCAATTTAAAATGAGCGTTATAGCAAAACAGCGCTAAGCAAAACAGCATTAACCAGGGGTTGCCTGTATATTAAATGCGCTGTGCATTAATGTGCATTGATGTGTATACTCATACACATTATTCAAAAAGTACTTCTAATTCTGGAGGTGCCATTTAAATGCGAATCGTCTTTCACCAGTGTACCAGAGGTGTTGCTCTTGGATGCTGATGCCATTTCTTCAAACTCTATATTCTCTCTCTGATTCCTGGTAATGCAACTTGCATACAAGAAAAGTTCACCATTCCCCTTATATACCTGGGCTTACCCATGCAGATGCTCGTACACACGCTCAACACCACCATGGAGAGGCCTACACAAAAATAAGCTATTTCAGTTTGCTGTGGAAAAGGGAACAGGCTACTGGCTAGGAGTGATCTAGGGGACTAGAAAGTAGGGAAGGCATAAGGTCTAAGGCAGCCTTAGCAGCAAGATTCCATTTCCATGACTTTGTGTAAAACAGTACTGCAAGACAAGTTGTGCACTGTACTAAAAAACTGAGCGTTGGGAAATAAGCTATGGGAATGCTATAGATGTCATTAACCAGACTCAAAGCTGACAAAAATAAACTACTGCAGAAAGAGCCAAACTATCAGTTACCCTAAGGTCCTATAATTCTAAAAATGTCCAGGGATGAGATAATTAATTCCAATATTCTCATTCTCTATCAATAGAAAGCAAAAGCCAAATAAAATTTCAACACAGAAAAAGAATGGGATTTTCCATGTCCTGGCCCTGGTAAAATATTTGTTGAAGGCAAGATATGGGGAGAAAAAAAAGGACACTGCCAGATGTTGAAAAATCTCCTGTTTGTACATAATAGACTGGATTAATTGCTCAAGAAAAGCTGATTGCTGTGCATGCTTCTTCCCATATTAGAGTCAAGGTCAAGGAGACCAGTGGAAATCTGCTGAGCAAATGGTGATCACACAAGTTAAAATTGCATGGGAGAAGATTTAAATTTTGCAGTCTGCAAGTTTCCCAGGATGCCACCAAATTCTATAACATTAACTCTATTACACACTTTCATCTACTTTCACATTACCTCCTTCTCTCTGAAGTGAAACAAAATATAATCTAATGGTGTAGTGGGAAACTTGCACTGCCTTCCAAGACTTGCACACTACAACTGGTTCAACCAAAGAATATTGCAGCCATCAAGTTTCAATTTTCAAATGCCTCCTTTATTATTCCTGCTAAAATTTCAAATGATTCTGTCTGCGCATGGCAAAAGTCATGCTTACAAGCACCACTATGAATTTTCATGCTCAAAACAAAACATGAGTCTGGAAAATAGACAGAATTCCTGAAATTTGGGGTGGAAACATAAAGGTTTCAACTGGCTGCACAAGTGTACTTTCAAAATGAGCATTCCCATCTATCTCCACATGCAAAATCCTACATTTTCAGGCAAACTATAGATGTGGAGGTAATATACAGGTAAATAATGCAACTCCAATTTCGGTTTTGAATTTATAGAAGCTAGCTCATATTTTTACCTACTGAGATTCCCATGAATTTGCATGCGTTTGTACAGTGCCTAACCACAATGAAGCCTCAGGCCTTGATAGGGCTTGTGAACATTGTTATAACACAAAAATGACTGCTGATAGTT